TTTTAAATTCCTTATTGGTGATTAGGAAAGAAATAAAATTAAGCCTTATTGTAAAAAATATATAATCAAAAGAAATAGATGATATTGGCAAATCCCATAATATGGAAGATAAGGCAAAGATGTCAATAACCCCAACCATTCATCCAACAAATAATTCCTGAGTGCCTACTATGTGTGAGGCACTATTCAATAACCTGACCATGTAACTTATATTCTAGTAGATTCAGCTACGTTCTAGTGATTAAAAAGGGGTTTCTTGAACCCTAGCCCATCTTCTAGATGAAGCTCATACCTCTCATCCCCTTGCCAACTTCTCCAGCTCCAAGAGAACTCCCACTACACCCTGAATTTCACCAAACCAAACTTACCAACACCCCCTCCCAACTTGCTCTTCTTCCTCTACTCCTCTTCTCAGTGACTAGCACCCCTTCCTCCAGATGTTCAGGCCAGAACCTGGACATTATCTCAGTGAACCCCTTTCCCACACCTCCACATCCAAAGGCTCATCATGACTAGTTCCCTGCATACCCTCACCTCTGGCTGAACTGACTACTCTCCTTGGCCTATATGAATTTTGCTCCATAACCCACTGCCTGGGTAGCAATTTGTTCAGGGTTCACTTTAATCTTGACCTCCTTTGGGGAACCTGCCTTGATTCCTCCCCCTACCCCCCAACCTTGGACTGAGAATCCTTATCTGGGTAGTTTAGGTTTCCCGTGCTTCCTAGTTTATATGCTAATTGTTCATTTCTCCTATTATACTATGAGCTCTAAGAAGTTCTTATTTATAATTGCATCCCCAGCTCCTAGTCTCCTGCCTGAGATGTGGTAACTAGCCACTAACGACTTCTTAAATAAAGAAAAAACAAATTCCTTTGGAATCCAAAAGCCTGGATTATACTAAGATCCATCATTAACTAGTTGAGTCACTATGCACTTCACTTTTCTGAGTCTCAATCTTCTCATCTATGAAATGGTTGTAATAATTCGTGTCCATTCTATCAAGAATTCATGGTTGAGTGTAAAGATCAATGAAATAATAAATGTGAATGCTATTTATAACCTCTAAGTTGTCTTGCACTTGTAAGGGGTTATTTCTAAATTTCAGGGTTTGTTTTTTGCTTTTTTTGTTTTTACATTTTCTCTAGGTTAATTCAGACACAAGTAGATATTGCTTCTACTTGTGAATTTCTTATAAGTGCAGAATCCCAGAAGAAAAATGCTACTGCTACTCATCTCTGAAAAGATTCAGAAATTAAATGTTTTTGTTAAAACTGGTTAAAAGAAATTTTTTGATACAAACTGTACATGGAGCATTATTGGGAACCACCTAGTTCATTTAAGCAACCAATACCAAATGGACACCAATTAAACAAATTAACCCTTTATAATAATGGAAAAGAGGAAAGAACTAACAAATTAGAATGAACAAATTAGAATGGAAGAAAAGTAAATGCAAGCTTAAATCCAGTTTTCTACTAGTAAATTAGCAAAACAATATTAGTAACTCAATGTTGTTGAGGTAGTAAAAAAGTAAATATGTGCATGTACTCCTGTTAAAAAAAATTACTTATATCTTTGGAGAGACAATTGATAACACACTTCAAGAGTCAAAAATAATTCTATTGTTGACAATAGATCTTAAGGGAAGAATTAAACAAAAACATGGTGGGCAAAACATTTATTATTAATATCTAAAAAGTGCAAACACCCACAAGTAGAAAGGTGATTTGGTAAAGCCCTTGCACCCACTGGATGAACCATTCACAGTCATTAAAAATAATCATTATAGTTGCATGGCCATTTTATTTAGCAACTTTATTTGGTGAGAATGGCATTCTTAGTCCTGGCCACAAAACCCTTGAGTCCTGTTGAGCAGCTTCTTTATGATTAGGGAGGGAAGAGTCAAGTTCTCAGAACAGATCCTTGCTCAAATCTTCAAGCAAGTGAAAGCCAAGTTCAAAACATTCACAGTGAAGGTGGAGCTCAATTAAGCCAGAGCCTACCAGGCACCAGTGGATTGGCAGAGGTGGCAATGGGCACACAACACTGTAGGAGCTTGGTAACTTACTGTTAACTCTGCTCATGAGGCTATCCTCACTCTGCGGCCTTGAAGGAGACTGTGCACACCTGGAGCATCGCTGTCTCCTTCAGCAGCTCCCAGAGAAAATTAACAGGATGACAGACCCCCTGGGGAGGAATTAAGTGCATTCAAAGAAGGTTAAGAGGGTCTTTGGCTTTGTGCTCCATGTAACTCTAAGAGGGTCCCAACGAAGCATGCCCCCCTTCCTCCATGTGCTTGTGTAGTACCTTCTGCGTAAACCTAATGGTTCTGGGACTCACCTACAACCACAGAATATGGCAGAAGTGACAGTGTGTGCCTTCTGAAACTAGGTCAGAAAAAGCTTTCCAGCTTCTACCCAGGTCTCCTGAAATACTGAGAGCTCTGGGCCACTACACAAGAAGTTCTACAACTGCTATGCCAGCATAGCAGAAGTCATGTGGAGACACTCTGTAGTGTGCTCCATTACAGTTCAGCCTTCCAGCCATTCTCACCATGAGGGAACTATCCTGGATCCTCTGGACTAGCACATCCACAACTTGAATACCCTCAAGTGACCCAGTCAATGACACATCAGTAGAAATCAGTGGATTCAATCAGATGATCTTGCTTAAATTCCGGACCCACAAAATTATGAGGCATAACACTGTTGGTGGGAGTGCAAACTGGTCCAACCACTATGGAGAGCTGTGTGGAGATTTCTGGACCTACTAAACATAGAGCTTCCATATGATCCAGCAATTCCACTTCTAGGTATTTACCCAAAGGACACAGAAACATCAATTCCAAAGAACACCTGCACCCCTATGTTTATAGCAGCACTGTTTACAATAGCTAAGCTTTGGAAACAACCCAAATGCCCAAAAATAGATGACTGGATCAAGAAGATGTGGTACATATACACCATGGAATATTACTCAGCATTCAAAAAAGATAAACACATGCAATTTGCAGCAACATGGATGGCGCTGGAAGGGATCATGCTCAGCGAAATAAGCCAAAAAGAAAAAGAAAAATACCGGATGGTCTCACTCATAGCAGGAATCTAGAAAACCTAAATAAGGGACCAGGAAAATGAATAACTATAAGAAAGTGAAAATCAAAATCAACAAAAAACTATAAACCAGAGACACTTTTGGGGGGGCGGGGGCCGGGGGGAGGGGAGGGATTGGGGTCAGAATGGGGGGGCTGCAATTGTATGGGGAATATAAAAATAAAATTTATTATTTAAAAAAAATAATAATATAATAAAAATTCATTACCAGGCATTAAAAAAAAAATTATGAGGCATAAAATGGTTGTTGTCTTAAGCAACTTTATTTGGGCTAATTAATATGCAGCAGTATGCAGCCAGCACTTTACCTCTGAAGGATGGTTAAGAATAAACTCATAATTCCAGAAAAAGGTAAAAAAAAGTTAAAGAATCTAGCATTTATCCTGCCTTTCCTTTATGGAACTGTACTTCAGAGTAATCAAATGACTGATGAAAGCAAGATCTTCTTTATAGAAGTACAGCAACAAATGAAAGGGTATCAGAATTATAATACTGCCACTTTAAGATTACTGATGAAATAATACCATGAGGTAATAGCCATCAGTGACTGCTAAAATCATCAGGCAACAGACCAGGGAGGAACATCATAACGAATGGATCAGGCTGAAAACACTTCAACCCATGATCCATATCTTCTTAATAAGTCAAGACAACAGAAAAACAGACACTGTATACCTCCTGATATGAGACAACAAAAATTATCCAGCACCAACTCTCAAAGCGTCTTGCCCCCAAATCAAACCTGCACCTGACAGCACTCAGACTTCACTCCCAGGCACCAGAGAAATGTGAATTGATCCCCTGGGGATATAAGCAGCCATATCCAAAACATGGGGATCTGTATGGGACAAATAATCAAGTTTTTACAAAATATAACTTTTTTTAATATAGGAGGAAGGGATCTATTAAAAGGAATGACGTGGGCCTCCCCAGTGGCGCAGTGGTTGAGCGCTGGGCTGTGAAGCTGCCTGCAGACTCTGCAGTGCAGGTTCCATCCCCGGCCGCCAGGTGAGGGTCCCACTTGGCGCGCAGACCTCTCCTGCCATGCCCGCTGCTCCCCTCAGCAGTGTACTTCGGTCCTTCTGCCTGCTCTGCTCCCCGCTCTGGCTCTGGTGAATTCTCTCACCCTCCCGCGCTTCTGACTGTACCCAGTGCTTGTATAAATAAATAAATCTTTAAAAAAAATAAAAATAAAAGGGATGACAGGTATCAATCAAATTCAATGTGTACACCAACTCTGGATACATATACATATATATACACACACACATATATATGTGTGTATATATATATGAACACCAGGCATTTGATGAGATTAAGAAATCACTTTAAAATTTTAGGTATGATTGTACGTTATAGGTAATTTTTTAGAGCCTTTATCTTTTAGCTGTAAAAGATAGTATGTATCCCAGATGCATCTGGTATTTACTTCAAAACAATCCAGTGGTAAGGGCCATAGGAGTGGATAATGTATCAATGAAGCAAGATTGGTCATATGCTGTTATTACTCAAACTAGGTGATGGGGAGGTGGAAATTTAATATACTAAAGTCTCCACTTTTTGTATATAATTTTAATTTCCATTTTAAGGGGGAAAACTTAGAAACAAATAGCTCTAGCCAGAAAAAGTGAGAAGGTGCTTCCAGTGATGCATTTCTGAGTGATTTGAGTGCAACAGAGACAGTCTTTACTGCTCCCCTCTTGACAAATCCCCCTGCACTTAGAAGACTAGAAACCTAAAGAGGTATCCAAAGTCACATTTTAAAGATGAATAATGGAGAGGAGTTTGGAGAGGGAACGAAATTATTAAGGAGGATTATACTGTCACTACTCGACACAATGGGGATTGCTGCTTTTAACTGCTTTAAACAAGTCTTACTTCATACCAGAGCTTCAACTCAAGAAGGCGTCGCCATGGGAAGTGGATCCTGCCCAAGAGATCAAATCTTTCTTCCTGGCTGGGTCTTTGAGTGCAAGCGCTCTTCCCTGCACAGAAAGAGAATGGAGGTGGTTCTGAGAGTGCACTTGAAATTCTTTTTTCCTCTTTATGGTATCTTGCAATCAGGTGTCTTAGAAGGCCTGGCTAGAAAGGCACCTCTGGATAATGTGGTTGTCCAGAGGCTGTTTCTGCCCTTCTTTGTGTGTGTTTCCTCCAGATACAACAAGATGTTTGATAGCATTGGGCTATCAAATCCAGTGGGCTCTGGACATGGCTGTTTTGTAACTCACCAGCTGTGCTACCTTGTCAGATTATACAACCTCTCTGTGCCTTTTCCCTATTTCTAAAGTAAGGGTAAGGCTTTTGCCAGGCTGTACCCCTGAAAGCAAGATGGGTCACCAGCAGTTCTATTGGAGTCAGCCTCAAAAATTCTGCCAGAGTTCTCCCTCTTGCTACATCTGTTCAAACTGCCAGTCTGATCTAGAAATAGGGCCTCAATATACCACCAGTGTTTCCTTCAGTACACAAAGGATATATATATATCAAATTGGATGAAGTGATCTTTCTTGAATGGAATATCCAAGACATCTATCTGCTGAAAGAAACAATACTAGATTTTCTACACAGAAATATTTTTTTAAAAAAAGAATAACTTCAAGCTTATGTTGGTGTTTAAGTATAAAACAGATAAGGCATCTAAAGTGCTCAGCATGGGTCCTAGCATAGTCAGCTCTCAATAAATGATCATTACTATTATTTTGCCATGGAAAATATTATTACTATTATTTTGTCATCCATATCCATTTTGAATATGGATTGGATCTAATGATCATTAAAAGTCCTCCTAATCTGGGCCTCCCCGGTGGCGCAGCAGTTGAGCGCTGGGTTGCGAAGCTGCCCGCAGCCTCTGCAGCGCTGGTTCGATCCTCGGCTGCTCCCCGGCCACCGGAGGAGGGTCCCACATGGCGCGCAGACCTCTCCTGCCGCCAGCTGCTCCCCTCAGCAGTGTACTTTGGTCCTTCTGCCTGCTCTGCTCCCCGCTCTGGCTCTGGTGAATTCTCTCACCCTCCCGCGCTTCTGACTGTACCCAGTGCATGTATAAACAAACAAACAAACAAATAAATAAATAAAAAACATGCCTCTATAAAAAAAAAATTAAAAAAAAAAGTCCTCCTAATCTAACATTTGAGGAATCATTCTTTTATACAAGCATCTCATGTACATTTCATGTACATTTCCTATACCTCATGTTGGTGCTAAGACAGAGACATACCTGACATGGGAGTTGAGAGTTAAAGTTAACATATACTCTTGCAAATTACTCCACCATCAACTGACATCCCAAACATCAGCTCCCCCATTCAGAGCTGCTGTGAGAGGTGCTGCCTGGAGTGGGATGAGGGAGCTACATGGTCTGGGTCATGATGATGGTGACTGAGGGACTTTCAGGACATGACATCTTGTCTCCTCCCAGGACCTGCAACATGAAAGTCTTAAACTCTCCTCCACTCAGAACAAAGATGTGTTTCTTCCATTGCCTCTACTCCCTCAGCGCCAGAGCTAGATGAGAAAATGGACAGCAGTCTTGGCAAGGATTTAGAGCAATTGGAACCCTTGCAGCCTGCAGGGGGTAATATAAAATAAACTGATTGCTGCCACTATAGCAATCAGTTTGGTGGTTCCTCAAAAAATTAAACATAAAATTACCATATGATCCATCATTCCACTCTTAGGTGTAGACCCAAAATAAAAAAAAGCAGGTATTCAAACGAAAACTTATATATAGTACCTATAATCATCAATAATATACCATACACTTAAAAATTTGTTAAAAGGGTAGATCTCATGTTACGTGTTCTTACCACAACACAAAAAATATGTAAACATATACATGTCAATAATCTAAGCTTAAACTTCCATATTTGACCTTTTTGTTCTGGTGAAATGACTCACCGTGGGGCTATGATATTAGAGTTTACCAGCCATAGGAGGAGGTGCTATTAACAATTGTTAGCTCTTCTTTCTTCATGTGATATATTTTGAAAATCTAAGTAACAGATTTCACATTTATTCCCAACATACTGCAATTTGTTTTATTCAAGATCTTTGGGGAATAAGATCTTTCAGGACTCCAATTCCATCAGATTCTACAAGCTATCAGATTTCAGGTCCACATATTTGATACCTTGCCATTTATTTATTTAGCCAAGTTGCTCAAGAAAATGTTAACCCACAATAGGTCAAGGGTGGTTCTGATATAAGGGAATAACACCTAAACATGACTGTTCATACAGCAGCGCTATTCACAATACCAAAAGGCAGAAACAATGCAAATGCCTATGAATGGATAAACAAAATGTGGGGTATACGTACAACAGAATATTATTCAGACACAAAAAGGAATGAGGTGTTGATATTTGTCACAACATAATGAACGTCCAAAACATGCTAAGTGAAAAGCCAGTCATAAAAGACCACATGCTGTATGATTACAATTATTCCATATTTCATCTTGAACTATCTAGAATAGGCAAATTTAGAGAAACAGAAGACAAATTTGTGGTTACCTAGAGTAGCAGGAAGGGGAAATGGGAAGTGACGTCTTAATAGGTACGGGATTCCCTTCTGGGGTAATGAAAACATTCTGCAACTACAGTGGTGATGGTTCACAAAATTGTGAATGTATTAAATGCCACTGAATTACACACTTTAAATGGAGAATATTGTGTTCTGTGAATTTTATCACAATTTAAAAACCACAGTGAGATATACTGCACAACTAGAAAAATGACTAAAATTTAAAAAACGAAAACACTGACCATACCACGTGTTGGCAAGAATATGGAGAAACTAGAACTCTCTTATATCACTAGTGGACACATACGTTACACCACTTTAAAAAAGTTTGGCAGTTTCTTAAAAAGTTCAACACATACCACCTGCCAAAGTCTGGCCATTCCTTTCCTAGGTATCCCAAGAGAAATGAAGGCACGTGTCCACACGCAGACTTGTACACAAATGTTCCATCACTTTACTGTCATATTTAAAAATTGGAAACAGCCTAAGTCCATAACAGAGGAAAATTGTGATATAACCATGTAATAAAATACTTCTCAGCAATATAAAAAGAATGAGCGATTGACACATGCCACAATCTTAATTAAAGGATCTCAAAAGAATTATCCTGAGTGAATTTACAATAGCTAAGCTTTGGAAACAGCCCAAATGCCCAAAAATAGATGACTGGATCAAGAAGATGTGGTACATATATACCATGGAATAGTACTCAGCATTCAAAAAAGATAAACACATGCAATTTGCAGCAACATGGATGGCGCTGGAAGGGATCATGCTCAGCGAAATAAGCCAAAAAGAAAAAGAAAAATACCGGATGGTCTCACTCATAGCAGGAATCTAGAAAACTTAAATAAGGGACCAGGAAAATGAATAACTATAAGAAAGTGAAAATCAAAATCAACAAAAAACTATGAACCAGAGACACTTTTTGGGGGGTGGGGGCGGGAGGGGAGGGATTGGGGTCAGAATGGGGGGGTTGCAATTGTATGGGGAATATAAAAATAAAATTTATTATTAAAAAAAGAATTATCCTGAGTGAAAAACTAGACAAAAATGACTATTATTATATGACTGCATTTATATAAAATTTTAGGAAATGCAAATTAAGGTTTAGAGACAAAAGCATACCAGTGATTGCCTGGTGACTAGAATGGGAGAAGAGCAGGAGGCAGCAGTTTCAAAAGGACACAAGAAAATTTTTGTGGGTAGCTGATATATTCACTGTTAAGTGTGTGGTAATGGTTCATAGGCATATACATGTGCCACAACTAATCAAAATGTATGTTTTAAATATGTGGACTCTATTGCACATCAGCTATATCTCAATGAAGCTCTTAAATATATTTTTAAAGTATAGGTGATGAGATATTTAATGAATAAAATGTAAATCAAGTTTACACCTTCCACTAGATTATGCAGTTATAAATGTCTGTCTTCAAAAAAATTAAATCTTGTTGTAAAAAGGTGAAAATCAACGAAGCTTACTCAGTGTGTAGTACTGATTGATCTGTGCTCAGAATAGGCTAGATTAAGTTACATTATCAAGCAGCCCAAATCTGAGCGGCTTAATACCACCACAGTTTATTCTTCATTCACTCTACACATCCATAACAGTTTATAGAGGGTTATGTTAATGGTCATCTCCCTGAGACTCAGCTCCAATATCCAGGAATATGGCCTTCATGATCCATAGAACCTGAGGAGACAGAACTAAAGAGCAAGCACCTGCAGCTCAATGCTCCAGTTCACAAAGACAAACACCACTAATCACATGTGTTGGCTCCAAAGTCACATGACCGTGCTTTACCCTCAAGGGGACAGGGGCGTGTATGCCTCCATGTGCCCAGAAGTAAAGGGGAATTAGGACAATGGGGAACTTTAATAGTCTACCACAATTACTAAAAAATCATTTCCACACCAACATATGGCGAAAGAATCAAAACAGAATATACTCGGGCCTCCCCAGTGGCGCAGCGGTTGAGCACCGGGTTTGCGAAGCTGCCCGCAGCCTCTGCAGCGCTGGTTCGATCCCAGGCTGCTCCCAGGCCACCGGAGGAGGGTCCCACCTGGCGCAGACCTCTCCTGCCGCCCGCTGCTCCCCTCAGCAGTGTACTTCGGTCCTTCTGCCTGCTCTGCTCCCCGCTCTGGCTCTGGTGAATTCTCTCACCCTCCCGTGCTTCTGACTGTACCCAGTGCTTGTATAAATAAAATAAATAAATCTTAAAAAAAAAAAGAAGAAAGAAAAAAATAGAAAAAAAAAATAGAAAAAAAAAAAGACACATGAGAAAATACCAGCACATAAAAAAAAAAAAAAAAAGGTGGGAGAACTACAACTCCATCCATACTTACAAATCCCCTATCCTCTTACTATGTTCACTACATGGAGAGACAAACTTCTACATACTTCAGGGAGAGCAAGGTAACAATTCTATTGGGCTTTTAAAAGTCACTTAGCTGCCTAGAAATCAGCTAACACTTGCTATGCAAACCATCAAATACTCCCACCACTCACTCATTTACTGGTTATGTGTCCCCCATACCCAGTGTTGGAGAAAACTATGGGGTGGTGTGTGACATTTGCTCCAAAGTCTAAACAAGGTGCTAGGAGATCACAGAGAGGGAGAAAGAATTTTTTTTTTAAGAGATGTTTTGAACTCTGACCTAGTCACCATTTCTGCTTTTGTGATACCAATCTGGGTCCCCACCTTGCCAATTCTGCCATTAACCAGCTCTGCAGACAGAGGCAAATCCCTTCACCTTCTAAGGCTCAGTTTCCCCAACTGTAAAAGGGGAATAATAAGTCTTACCTCCCAGGATTGTTGTGAGAACTAGAATGAGGTCATGTCTATAGGAATGCTTTGTAAATTGTAAAGTTTTGTGTCAGTCCATGTTATCACCACCATCACCATCATCATGGCTGACTTGCACCGTCTAGAAGGGGAACCGCAGGGTTGGGGAATAGCCCAGCAGAGAGGGGCTCCAGGCCTGACCTTGAGACTCTGCTGGAGTCAGGGCCTCTTTCTAATTAACTCTTCCTGGCAGAAGTTCCTTGCTGGACATGTTTGCCTACCAGCAAAAAGCCAGGTGAGCTTCCAGGGGCCGCCCACTGGCCCTGACACACGGGGGTGGAATGATGATTCACCAGCCTGGTAACAGCCTCGCTGACAGGTCTCTTGGCCCAACCCCTGGCAGAGGCTGTAGAGGACTGGCAAAGGTGCAGTGGGGGCATTTGGCTTTTAAGAGAAAGATGGAAAGGAGGAGGGAAAGAAAAAGACAAGAAAAAGGAAAATAAAGGCACAAAAAGACAAAAGACAAACAGAATATGGTCACTAGGGGCTAGGGGACCAGAAAATGGGTAGTCGTTATTCAGTGGGTGCAGTTTCAGTTTTGCAAGACGAAAAATTCTGGAAACTGGCTGCACAACAATGCATACTACTTAATGCCACTAACCTATTCACCTAAAAATGGTTAAGAGTGTTTTTTACCACGCTTAAAGATAGAATTTTAGGGCTTCCCTGGTTGCGCAAGGGGTTGGGACGCGGCCTGTGGAGCTGTTGGCAACCACTGCTACGCGAGTTCGATCCCCAGCCAGCCAGGGAGCTACCCACTTGGCGCAGCAGACCTCTCCTGACTCGCCTGCTGCTCCCCTCAGCAGTGTATTCAGTCAGTCTGCCTGTTCTGTTCCCCGCTCTGTCTCTGATGAATCCTCTCATCCCCCACACCTCTGGTCTGTACCCCAGTTCTTGTATGCATGAATGGGTGGATCTCTAAAAAATAAAATAAATTAACTTAAAAAATTTGAATTTTAAAAATGAACAAATGAAAGCGAGAGTGAGAGAAGTGGGGGAGGACGGAACCCCAGAAGAGTGAAGAGGTGGAAGGAAAGATGAGGACGGAAGGGAAGCAAAGACGAGGAAAAGGGAAAGAGCCAGCGAGGGAAGAAGCAGGGTGGAGGAAGAAGGAAGGAAGGAGGGAGAACTGGAAGGAAGATGGGGGGACTGGGAGGAATGGAGGGGAAAGACAAGAGATGAGCTTTAGAAAAGGGAAGAAGGGACAAGGAAAAGAATACCTTTTCGCAAACCGCGAGGCAGCGGAGAAGCGGCCCCGCCCGCTTTCCCCCCAAGTCTGCAGGGGGGCGGCGGGCTTGGGGCGGCGGTTGGGGGCGGGCTTGGGGGCGGCGGGCTTGGGGGCGGCGGGCTTGGGGGCGGCGGGCTTGGGGGCGGCGGGCTTGGGGGCGGCGGGCTTGGGGGCGGCGCTGTGTGCGTGACGTCACCGCCCCGCGCCGCCTGCCCGCCCGCCGCTTCCCGCGTCCCGCCGTTGTGCAAGCGCGCGCAGGGCTAGTGGCTGGCTCCACGGGCGAGCCCCGCGCTCCCTGGGTGGCTGTGAGTCCCTTGGCCTTTGGCCCGCTGCCCGGCCAGCCCCGGAGGGGGTGCGGCGGGAGGGTGATAATTGCCCAGAGACGCAGCACTTATCTGGGCGGGTTGTGCAAGGCGCGCGGGAGGGAGGGCCCCGGGCGGCCGCTCTCACGCCTAAGCGGCCAGGCATGCGCGCGGGGGCGACGAGCAGGCGGGGGTCCCAGGGGGCGCCTCCGGGTGTTCCCGCTGGAGACGCCGCCCCGCACCTCTGGAAAGAGCCTCCCCTGGACCGCTGGGGATGGGGAGGACCCGGGTTCCCAGCCCTGCCTGACACCTGCCAGGAAGCGTTGTCGGTCAAGTCTTCTGGGCCCCAGGCTCTTATGTGCAAAGCACTAAGTAAAATCATTACCTCGCGCGGTGGTTCTGAGGATTTGAAAATGCCACTGGGGAGGCCGTGAGGCCCAGGGCAGTGCCAAGTACACCAGGTACATGGTGAGTGGTGGCCTTCACTGCTCTCATCATCCACTCCAAGACTGTACTCTGAAATTCTAGTGCTAGACTCTCCTTCCTGGCCCACACATTGCCCCTCAAGACCTTTCCGCCACCGACCTGCGGGATGAGCTTGGGAAATGTGCCTACCCTCCTTCCCTTCGGTTTGCACTTAATGAAACTGGGTGATGAAGGTCCCCACCTTAATAATCTGTTGGAAGGGTTAAATAGTATCAGCCTTAAAAAGTTTGAAAGCCATAACCTTTCAGACTTTGTGAGACATGGTTCTTTCAAAATTGTTCCCTTGACTTCCATGCCAACAGGCACTCCAGGCTTTCTTCTAGCTCCCTGGCTTCTCCTTCCCAGTCTATGCAGATTCTTCCTCCCTCACACATCCCTTAGGAGCTGGTGCACCTTGGGATTTTCTCTTAGGCATCCCCCTCTTCCTTGGTAAGGGGTAACTTGGTGATTGTATCTTTTCCAAACCTTCAGGCCCTACCAACCATGTGGGGCCATTTGCAATCCAAAAGGACTGTATCAGAATCTTTTAATATGTCTATATCCTTCAATCCAGCAATTCCTTTTGGGAAATTTAAGAAAACTGAGATGTAGTCCACTATTTAAGGACACATTCGTCAGAGTAAAAAATGGTAACAACCAAAGGTGCCGGAAAGGGTTAAATAAATATACCCATTCAACAAATACTCTTTTGCCATTTAAAATATAGAAGAGGGTCTCCCTGGTCGTGCAGGGGTTAAAGACAGCGCTATCAAGCTATGTTCAGCCACCAGCAGTGCCATCCCCTGCTGGCCAGGAAGCAACCCACATGGCCCAGCAGACCTCTCCTGCCTCACCTGCTGCTCCCCTCAGCAGTGTATTTCAGTAGATCTGCCTGTTCTGCTCCCCAATCTCTCTAGTGAATCCTCTCACACACATCCCCCACCTCTGGCTTACATCCCAATTCTTGTGTGCATGAATAAATAAATCTTATTTTAAAAATATAGAAGAATATTAATATAAGGGAAAATAATTTACAATATGTTAGATGGGGAAAGTAGGCTGTAAAATATTATGTATTGTATGCATCTAATTTTTTAATTAAAAATTTTTTATTAAGGGCCTCCCCAGATGCGCAGCGGTTGAGCGCTGGGTTGCGAGGCTGCCTGCAGCCTCTGCAGCGCCAGTTCAATCCCTGGCTGCCAGGCGAGGTTCCCACATGGCGCGCAGACCTTTCCTGCAGCCAGCTGCTCCCCTCAGCAGTGTACTTCGGTCCTTCTGCCTGTTCTGCTCCCTGCTCTGGCTCTGGTTCTCTCACCCTCCCACACTTCTGACTGTACCCAATGCTTGTATAAATAAAAAAAAATTAAAAATTTTTAATTAAAAAGTATCTTCAAAGATATATGCCAAAGTGTTAATAGAGGTCTTCTCTGGATGATGAAATTATGGGAGATTTAAATTTTGTTCATTTTGCTTATTTGTGTTTTCTCCCATAATACTGTATTTGCTTTCTTTAAAAAAATAAAATGTTGACTGGTTGGTTATTTTTATCCACAAGCCTGAGCCAAAATGGCTGAGATAGTTGTGCCTCTTGGAGCTCCTTGCTAGCTTGAGACCTAAACATCAGGACAAAATGCTTCTCACCTGTGTCACAGTCAAATTCCTGGCAGTGCCAGTGAAGGAGGAAAAAAACAGTTGGTTTTGGGGTAGAAATTGATACTCGAGGAATTTTCATTCATGAAAGAACTTGGCTTGAGAATTTCTAGACTGGTAGTATTCATCCAAGCCTTACAGATCTTCAAGTTCCACCCCCTCATCTTGGAAACAGGGAACTGGAAACCCAAAGATGATTGGTGACTTGCCAAGCCTGCCAGATTGCACAGGAAGGTCATGACAGAGATGGAATTTGGACATGTTTCCTCACTCCCTGGCCCCTGTTCATTCCAACAGATGTTCCCACCCCATCTCCAGAACTGACCCCCAAGACTTCCTACACACACACACACACACACTCCTATGTATATGAACACAGAGGCAACCTGTTGGCTTTCTATCCAAAGTCCATACACCCAGAAAGCAGACCACCTGTGAATTCACTTTTTTTTTTTTTTTTACTATATGAGTGTTACCTCTCAGGTGAAACCCTGAGAGGCTGACCTGCCTAAATTTCCCACCAAGCTCTGTTCTAAAACAGAATATCCTAAGCTCTGTTTTCTGCAAAGAACTTCCTCTGTGCCAAGCACTTTCCCATAAGATACTTTTATTTTTATATTTTTACTTTATGCTCTCAATAGCCCTATAATACAGGTATAACTGTTCATTACCCTATAAGGAAACTGAGATTCAAGGAGATTAAATAACCTTTCTCAAGGTCATATCTATAAGTGCTATAACCAGATTTCAAGCTCCCACTCTCAATAGACCCCACACTGTACTAGGCTGGACCCTGGTTCTGCACTGCCATGCCAGAGCACAAAGAGACTTTGTCAAGACTCAGGAAATCAGAGCTGAAGAAACCTTGGAGGTTCTGATTTCACATTTTGTTCTATTTTTCAGACAAACCACATTGTACAGAATAGTTGATACCCCTGTGGACAATTTTAATCCCAGCTCTACCATTTAATAATTGTGTGACTTTTGGCAAGTTACTCAACCTTTCTGTGCCTCAAATTCCTCATCTGTTGACTGTGAACAATAATACTATTTAATCCAAAGAATTGCACAAGGATTAAATGAGTTACATTTAAGTATATAAAACAGTGCTTCTCACATGATAAGCTCTTCATCAAAGCTTATCATCATTATTACTATTACTAATACTCAGCATTTATGATACACCATGCTATGGAAGGAGGGTACAGAAACCATCTGTAATTACAACTTAATATGACAAATGACTAATATAGATATGTGTAGACACTAAGAGTGAACATGACTTGTCCAAGGGAGCAGCAATTTAGGACTTGAGCCCAAGTATCCTAAGCCTCTTTATATCACTGATTAGAAATTTGCCCATCAACTAAACATACACGTGACCTAAAGTCTGTCCACATGGCACCGAAAAGAGACCCCTAAGGCCATGGTTGCCTCAGCTGAAAATATCACTAAGCTGTAGGGACAGTCATAAACACTTTCCCAATGAGTCAAAGGTAATAGTGAGAGGACAACCAACTTTCCCCTTGGTTCTTACATCCTCAACCTTCAAGCATGAAGCAGTGACACAAACTGGAGACAGCTCTTCTAACTCTTTTCATCCTCAAAAATGTGGTTTCAGAGGGCACCACCACTCACTGGCTCTTCCTTTGCCATAGCTACTGATGCCCTTAAGGACATTTTTAGCTCACTCAATTCAATCACTTTCACAATTTTATATTATTTTTATGTGTTCAACTCTGTAGGCAAAGGTGAATCAGCCCCAATCTCTGACCTCAGGGAGCTTGAATTCCAGTAGAATAAATAAACCATGACATATTGTAACTTTGCAAGTGCTTGGGCCTCAAGCCAGGGACAGAACAAAGACAAGCAGATTCTGGATTAGAAGAGTCTCACAGATAGTGTGGCAGGCTGAATAATGGTCCCCAAAGATATCCACATCCTAATCCACATGACTTGAGATTATTGCTTCATATGGCAAAGGGTCTTGGTGGGTGTGATTAAATAAAGGATCTTGAGATGAGGATAAGTTCCTGGATTATTAGGCTGGGCCCTAAATGTAGTGACAGGATCCTCACAAAAGGGAGACAAAGGAAGATTTGACACAGAGAAGTGGTGAGGAAAGCAAGAAGTTAGAATTATTACAGGAAGGAACCATGAGCCAAGGAATATAGGTTGTCCCCAAAAAAACAGGAAAAGAAAAATGGATTTTCCCCTAGCGCCTCCTGGATGGAACCAGCCCTGCCAACACCTTGAATTTGACTCAGTGAAACTGAATTTAACTCTGAACTATAAGAGACCAAGTCTGTTTTGTTATAAGCTATCAGGTTTGGTAATTTGCTTCAATGCCCGTAGGAACTAGGCTTCTGTACATATGTTAGGCACTTTAATCGAGTTTTATACATGAACTCTGGAGTCAGACTGCTTAGCTTCAATTCCTGGCTCCACCATTTCCCATCTGTGTGGTTTTGGTACACAACCTCTGGGCTTCAGTTCCCTCATTTATAGAAGAAAATATTTAGCCCCTCCTCCCCCCGACATGTGCATAGTAATGGCATGAGGAATAATGCAGAGATATTACTAATGCTCACCATTATCTCCTTTCCTTCCATGGGAGTCTATACTTCCTGC